TAAGTGCTTGCCTTGAGTCGAGCGTGGGCGTCCAGTGCATTTTCACACCGGCCCTACTCTAACGGCCAAGCGAGACCAAGAGAACATCATGCGTGGTGCATTGGGTTCTGTGGCCTGTTTCGGAGAGTGACCAGTAACCGGTATTGCAAACACATCTAAGGAAATCCGAGTTCATCTTTTTCGTAAGGGGGTCCGCGATCATGTTATCACCAGCAACCCAGCGTAAAGATCCCCCTGATCTATAGAGATCATCCTTTAGTATGGCTATGTCTATAGCCGTTCTCTTGTCCTCTACTTGAGAGTAGGTGCACACCAGCTTGTTGATGCAGTCGTATAGCGACCGAGAGTCAACTACTGAGACATAGGGGATGGCTGCCAGATGCCGCTCCCAATCCTTGGATTCCATGGTCGTGCCCATCAGTTCGAGCAGGAGGTAGCGGTGCCAGTGGATATGGCCAATGCCATGGACTAGCGATTGGCATTCTGCGCTCAGGGTGTTGACTGTCTTTCGTTTGAGTTTTGTTGACTTCCAGGAAGTCACGGAAATCATGTGAGGTCGATCTTCGGTTTCCATTCTCTTGTCATAAAAGATCATCACATAGCCTCCTTGGCTGCTACAGTTGAGGAGCTTGAGGAAGGTGTCGTTGATCTTTCCATGTTCCAACTCATGTCCTGGAAGCTGTTTGGTGAAGATGGTCTTTCCAGTCCAAGGGGAGTCCGACCAAGTTCGGACACTATTTCCTTTTGTCCATTCATCTTCTAGAACTTCTTCATTCGCTGTCATCGTTCTGCGACCTGGTTGTAGGTCATGAAGATCTGGTCCTGGATCGGCTCCTGGGTGGAATAGGACCCTCCTGGGAGTGACATGATGTCGAATCCAGTGTGATTGTTTCTCTTCCCAGTAGTCCTGTGAACTAGCTTCCAGTTGGTCTTGGCTTCTAGCATTGGACCATGAAGCGTCGGTCGCAACTCCGATTCGCAGGTTCTCTGGCTGAATCGGCATAATCTTGATGCCGCTCGAGGGGTGTTTTCAAGCCTCCTGAGTGATGGAGTTGGCCTCGATGATGTCTTTGATACGAGGCTTTGGAAAGACCTGTTGGAGCAGAGCCACTCTTCCGGCCAGGTCTGGCCTGCTTTCTTTGGCGAGCCAGGCTAGGGCTCCAACACTGGCGCGAAGCTGCGTGATTTCCTTGTCGTCACAGAAGGTGTATCTCTTTTTCTTTCGTTGTTTTTCCAGGTTGATCTCGAAGAGCTTCTCCTGGATGTAGTTCTCCTGGTTCACGGTGATGCTCGAGTCCTCTTGCTGGACGAACATTTTTCCAGTAAATTTTCCAGATCCATATTGGAATTTTCCAAGCTTATACTTTGCCTTGATCTGGTCCATAGCCTTTTGATGTTCTTCGTCGCCTCCATGTAGAAGGTCATCCGTAGCGACAGCAATGATGCCGCTGAGGACCGGCTTACCAGTAAGGGGACTAGCCCGATGCTTGTAGTAGATGCACGGATCTGCCAGGGACTGCTGGTATTGTAGTTGGCTGGTCAGGAACTTCTTGAGGTGATTGTACCATGCCAATGGGCCATCAGTGAGGCCGTAGCAAACCTTTTCAAGTTTCAGGAGTTGGCACGGTGCAACTCCAGGGATGCCTTCGCGAGGTGGAGTTGCGTAAAGTAGTCGTTCAATCGCATCTCCACTATGGAAAGCTTGGGTGAAGTCCAAGAAGCCGAGTTTCCAGCGATGACTGGCCACCAGTTGGGCGACCATGAGGGTTCCTTCTCTGGTAACCTGAGGTGTCGTTGCCTCGATGTCCTCGGAGCCTTCTTCGCTAAACCCTTTCATCACATGTCGGGCTTTGGCCTTGCAAGGTTCTTCAGAATCCCAGTCGAGGAGGATTCCTTCCTGTTTGGCTGGTTCTACTTCGTGAGGTTCCAATGGTTTTGGAGTCAGTACCAATCGACTTTCCATGATTCGGTGTGGCATGGTTTGTCGAATCTTTGCTGACTCTTCTGGGGAGACAATGGAGTAGGCGCCAATGTTGATGTTGTTGTTGAATTCCTTGCCAATTGCCGCCTTGAAACATTTTTGGTTCTTGAAGCTCAGTTCCTGAAAGCGCACTTCCTTTCTCTGTCTTGTTTTCATCAGGTTGTCAACCTTGTTCAGGTAGATCTCCAGGTATTCATGTCTCAATCTTTTTAATGGCGGTTGTTCTTGGGCTTCTCCTTCATCATATTCTCTTTTGTTGTTCTCGTCCACGTCGGGGTGTTCTTCTGGTCGTTCTTCTGGTACCTCTTCAGCAGGTCGTTCGTCATGATCTGGTTCTTGTAGATCTTCTGCTTCTGGTGGTTGATGAAGGTTCTCTTGTGGTGCCTTTGTTCGGTATCTTTTTGCTGGTGGTGGGTATCCCAGAGGTTCTTGAAGCCCGTCTAAGATTGGAGCTATTGGTGGTGCAATCGGTTCATCTTCAGGAGGTTCGGATGGCTCATAGTCCATGTCCTCTAGATCCCCATCTGCTAGTTCGGGAGGTAGAGGCTGATCGGATAGATCTAGGAAGCCTCGAACTGGTTCAGTGTTGAGATCCTTTTTGATATTGACAATGTCGTCAAGCCATCCCGAGAGAGCCATGTTCTCTTCAGATGAGGCTCTCCGAAGGCGCTCCGGACTCGCTTTGACCAGATTTGACTGGTACGCTAGCCAAATAGTGCTGGGCTGGTCGATCATGATGATGCGAGCTGGTCCCTGCCAGTAGCCTGGTTTGAACTTGAGCTTTTTATCCGCTCCCATTCGATAGAAGTAGACAATCTCACCGATGTCGTAGTCCAGGATCGGTCTTGGTCCTGATGAAATAGCTCTCCGCAATGCGTTGTCAGCATCGGCTTCGATGAAAGCTTGAGCTGCAGCCTTCCGAAGCTTCATGGATCTCTCAATGCTGAGGTCGCCGATCTTCGGCACTGGAGCGTCTTCTCGAGGTCGATGTCCGTCATCTCCGTTTAAGAGTCCTCCTGGTAGGAAGGGGTTGAATCCCAAGACACGTTGACATGGGCTGTATCCTCCCACGTTCATCATTCGGTTTTTGGTCATGGTTGTGAGGTCTACCATTTCCTCCCATTCCTGTATGTTGCTGCAGCTGTAGGTGTCCATGGTCTTCTGGAGGATGTATTTGAAAGTCTTTCCATGCCTTTCGGTGATGCCTCTTTGATGAGGTGCTTCCACAGCAGCTGGGTCGATGTAGGTCCCATCCTGCTCAACCTGTTTGGCGAAGGTACCACGAAACTCACGTCCCAAGTCTAATGCCATTCTTTTTGGAAGCCCAAATAGTCTCAACCAGTGCCTATAGGCTTCTCGAACTTGTCCTGGTTTCTTGTTAGGCAAGGGGATCATGAGTTGGAATTTGCTTGACCAGTCTATCACGTTAAGTGCTGGTCTGGAGCGATTGCCCAAGGTTGGCAAGAAGACCACGTCCACTCCGACACATTCATTGAAGCTGAGCTCCTTGGGTGGAGCACTTCGTCGTGCGGGTCGAACTTGGGCATGTCGTTGACAGACACTGCATTTCAGCCGTTTTGCTGCTTCAATGACTTCCGGTTTTGCCTTGGCATATCTAAGTATGCGTACAAACCGATCTGTACTTGGATGTCCCATTCCAACATGTGCTCGATGTAGAAGTCGGTCCATGGTGAAGCGACGTTCGAGAGGAAGTGGAGCATTTGTTCGTTCATCGCTTTCCGGTTCAAGTTCTCCTTGGTCATCGTCACCTTGAAGTTCTTCAGCATGTAGTTCCCAGGTTGGGTCAGGTAGAACACTTTCGACTTGGTCGGGTCGTTCCGGATCGACTTCGCTTAGATGAAGTTCATGTCCCGGGACTTGTTCAGCATGTAGCGTAGTTTCCTGGTTTTTATCCGGTGAATGTCCTGGATGGAGTTCAGAATCGACCATCAGTTCTACTGCCAACAATGAGTTCAGGCGATCATTCTCCAGGAACATCTGTTCGGAGGTGATGGTATAAACCTCAGCTCCAATCGATCTTGCGTAGGCAGCCAAAATGGCTTCCCGAAGACCTTCCGGATAGATTTGTGCTTTCTTGGACTTGGTGCCGCCAATGATGACTTCGTGTTGATGATCGCCAGGACATAGGGCGTCGAGAGCCTTGGCGATCTCCGGGCTGTTGGTGGCAAAGCCAGTCCGTTTTCTTTGGGGTTGGCCAGATTCTCCACGGAGTCCATATTGGCATTGGTCTGCCTTCGTGTACACTACGTTCGGTTTGGAAAGAAGCTGCTCCATGGCACGGTGTTTCCAGGAGGATGCAGCGTGGGGATGTTCCAAGAGGAACTTGATGCCCAAATTATCGCATAATTCGCACAACTGCAGCGCAAACAGCAAAAGTTGCTCCCCTTCTGACTTTCTCTTTAGATACTTTTGAAGAAGAGCAGGAACGTGTTCTCGTTTGTTTTTGGAGAGGTTTTGCAACTGTGAGTACATTTCACATGGTGGTGCGATGCAAACGAGTCCAGGCCTAACATCTTTCACATACTGCAAGACTTCGTTTCGTTTGTTTGCCTTCAACAAATCACAATCCAACTTTAAATCAAAAGCACGGCCAGGATTGAGATTGAAGCGATGGGCAATTTCACCAAAACAACCGGGATTATAGATCTCAGCCACAGTTCTAAGTTGTTTATGTGAAAGTCCCATGATTTCAGCAATCTGATGTGTCCTTTTTGATCCGTTAGGGTGCAGAGTAAACTCCTTGCAAAGTTCATCATTAAAGCTGCAAATCCAGTCTCGCAGTTTCGCATCTCCATCCTGCGTTTCTGCGAGGATGTACTGGATCTGTTTCCAAAAAGCCACAGCCTTCTTTAAGGCCGCCCGGAGCTTTCTTTCAAGCTTTGGGGTCACTGGCTTGAAGGGCCCTTCATTCGGCGCCAGCGCAGGAAGTCCATGAAGTCCTGGTAGTCCTCCGGTTCGGTCATTCCTTCCTGAGGTGATGTGGGCGTTGGAGTTGACGGACGAGGTGGTGCCTCTGAAGGACTGCTGGGAGAAGCCGTCTCCGTGACCACAGTCTTCTTTTCTTGCCGGATCACCTTGTTGCAGTAGCGGCAGGTCACCTTGGTCAGGAAGGCGTTGGATCCCTTCCGGTGCGTTGATGAGTGTGGACAAATGTCCTGAACCATTCCCTCCAGCACCTCTGCATAGGACTTGGGCTTCTCGCCTGGTTGTTGGCGGTATTTCCAGCTGGTCACATCTTTCAATGGCTGGCATGGGACCCATTGTTTGAACCCGCACTGTTGTCCCGGATATTTCGGGCACCTGAAGTACATCTCCTCCTCGTGGTCGGTCTCCGTACTCAGGTGAATCTTCACCTGTAGGCCGCATCGGCAGCGAGGTCGAGGTCCGGTCAGTATCTCGATGCATGGTAGGCTGTCGATCTGGTCGCAGCGCTGGGTTCTCACCAAGGTCGCCTTCGGAACCTTCTTCTGGGATCCGTCCGAGTGTTGTTCCGGGTCGCTGATCATGACGAAATTGTCCGACAACTCGACACGACGTTTCATCTCGTTCTTGGCCGTCTTGGTCACGTGGTGGAGGTCCTCGTCGGACATGTTCTCGATCAGGCGTGTCAGAACTCGGCGTTGGGGCTGTGCTCCCATGATGGTCTCCAAGAGATGCTCGAACAGGTACTGCAGGGGCATGAGCACAACCAGTAGCCGACGAGTCAATTGGGTCCAGGCTTTCACGGCCTTGTCCTCCGGGTTCGAAGTCTCCGGTGGAGCATGTCGGCTGCGCTTCTGGCCGGTGTTCTGCATGGCGGGCGGAGGAAACCGGTGAGGTCGATGTTGAAACGTCTTGAGTTTTGTCAGGCTCCGGCGGTTTCATGCACTGTTCGTTCAATTTCAGGACCTCGAATTCCGGAAGTGAAGTTCCTAAATCTTCTGATTGGGCTCTTTGGAGTGCGGTCAGTTGGAGTTCCGTAAACTGTTGAAGTGGAATTCGAAGTGCTCCGGTTGGTCCAAGATGTAAGGGGACTGGGTCATGATTTCCACGAAGCCGAAGTTGGAGGCCTTTCTCAAGACACAACCCTATGTCACCATGACAACGGAGGAGGAAGCTGAGGGGCAAGAGGAACGGTGCGTGGGTGCTCTCGTCGCTGTCGAAGACCGCTGGTTTCAGGAGACTGCCTTTCGCCCCCAGTGAGCTGGGTACATTGGCTACCCGGGTGGTGATCGATGTTTTGTGAACGCTCCTGAACTTGTTGGTCTCGGGGTGAATGGTGATCTTCAGGCCCTGTGGTAGATGTTCACTGAACTTCCTCAGGGTCGTGGCTCCGATTGCCAGTCTCTGGCATCCAGTGTCGACTGTGGCGCAGGTAGCGTCATCTGGGGTTGACTGGGAGTACTGGGATACCAGATCGCAAAACATGTTTTCATAGAAAAACAGGCTATCCACACCAACACAACCAATTTCACCCATTCCCAAACCCAAAACCGTGTCACTCTCCGTATATGACCGAGCGGTCAGGCCGTGATTCGAGGCGGGGACTACATCTGTACAGTCCGGCTGGCCTTCGATTGAAGTCCTCAGGATGAGCGGCTCAGGTGTTCTTGTCCCTGTCATCTCAAAAGGCGAGGAGCTGGTTGGTCCATGGCTGGAGAGATTCTTGTCGATGAACTCTTCCTTCTCCAGACTGCCCACAAAATGCACCTCGGGCGTGCTTTCCAAAAGGTGTGTCTCATTTGTTCGAGACGCGCTCATCGATGAGGAGCTGCCTGGTTTCATGGGAGGGTTCTTGCAATCCCGTTTCCAGTGGCCGATCTGACCACATTGTCGGCAGCGGGTCCTCTTCTGCAGCTCGGCAATCGTTACGGAGTAGGATCCAGGTCGTAGAGGTCGATCTCGATCTCCCCGATTCACGCTGAAGTTTGGTCGTCGACCAGCTCCATAGCCTCGGGCGAGTTCCTTGGTTTTCTTGTCCTTGATCGACTGTGTGTAGGTCTTCTTCTGCTGAAGGTAGGTGGAGAGGATCTCTGCCGCCTCGGATTCGCTCAGGGCGGTGTCTTCGGAAGGTCCTTCGTCCTGGAGCTCCATGATGTAGTGCTCGATGTTGTCGATCTCCTCCTGGTCGGTGCCATTACCTTCAATGACCTCCTCGGTGGCATAGACTCCGTCATACTCAGTATGGAAGACGCCGGCTGCCTTCTTCCGGTCGGCCCCAAGTTCTGAGGCAGACAACTTTGTTTCATTCTTTCTCAACCAGCTCTTGATGGAACTGGGCTTGATGCAGCCGTGGGTGTAATTCAGCAAGGCCTTGGTATCGCTCTCGGTCAGCTGCAGCCCGTTGATCATCAAGAAGCCTTCATACTCGGGCGGAAGCACGATTTTGTGTTGTTGAACCTTCCGAATGGCATTGTCCCACTTGGCGAAGTACTCCCTCCAGGACTCTGTCTTCTGCCTCCGGAGGTGATAGGTGATGCGGGACATGGCCGTCAGCATGTGCTCCTGCTGGTCATCTCCGAAGCGTTCAGGCTTATCCATGTCTTCAAGCAGACGTTCGGCACCTCGTGGATCTCCGAGCCAAACAGGATCTTTTGCCCAGTGCTTGTAAAGCTCGAAGGGTGCTCCTGTCAACATCTTCAACAAGAGAGGCCCTCGCGACTTGGCCTTGTCCTTGGTCGTCGCGATCCATAGTTGGGCCTTGATGTGATAGTCCTCGAATGGTGTCTGTCCATCCCATGATGGTGGAGGTCCGGAAGCCCCTCTTCCTTCTCCACTATCATCACCTTCTTCTTCTTCTCGCTCACGACGGCGCCTATGACGTGTCGGACCGCGGCCTTCTTCTCTCTCCATCTGGAGAAAGCGTTGGAACCGAGCGAAGGCTTCCCGGTCACTCCCTAAAACGTCCTGCGCGCCCTGAGCCCCCGTGGAGCCAGCAGCTGGCGAGCCGCCGCCTGGCGGTTCATCCAGGTCGCCATCCGAAGGTGGAATGGCCTGTCTATCGGCCATTCAAAAACCTAGACGGGATGGGGGCTGGTGACCACCAAGAAAAAGAGTCGAACCCAAACCAGCCCGGTCGGAACCGGGCTCCGCTACCACTATGAAATTGGGGGAACCGCAACAGACCCAACAAGCAAGAACAAGACTCTTTTTCCGGTGGACACAAAGCCCCCATCGAGTCTCTGGCTCCTAAGTGCTTGCCTTGAGTCGAGCGTGGGCGTCCAGTGCATTTTCACA